GCCATCTAGAAAGTTAGATTAGTTTGTGCCACGTTAGAGAAGCATCGTCCACATTAGCGAGCACACAATCAGAGATCGTAGGGAATGCTGCGATCTCGAACACGTCATCACGGTGGTATACGTAAGTCGAGACGAATAAAAGAAACACGATCATATTGTTTCTAATCGTTAATCGTTTTCTCATTTTCTTCTTTTTTGTTTTATTCTTTTCCCTCTCTTTCTCTCTCTTTTTTCCCCCCTTTTCTTAACACTTGCCACTTGAAAAAATATTTTTGAAATATTTGTTTCAATATGTAGAATAATTAGATAGAAAGTGGCAGGGTTAAGAATATACATATACTTCTGTTCTAATCTCTTTCATTCACACGCACACGTTTACACAACGATTCACATTGCGTTGGTTCCTCGCTGTGCACCACTTCGAATTATTTTCACTGGATCTTTCCTTCGAAGTCGAAGAAAAACCACCATCTCTAACGAACACTCTGTCTGCCCATCTCTTCTATCTTTCTCACTTCTGTCTGTGCATCCTCCTTCAAACACAAATCACCACCGAAGACGAGAAATACTAAACTTCCCTGTTCTTTACAGCAATCTTAAATCTTCGCACAGTCTCTCTCACCGCCATGTGGCATCATCACCGAAAAAAAAAAAAAAANAAAAAAAAAAAAAAAAAAGAAAAAAAAAAGAGATAATACACGTCACTCCGGTGTTATGGATTTATGAACACCATCACTGACTTGCCTGTTATCAGTTTCGCCCATTTCTCTTCGCCACTATTCTTATTACACATCTCCACTATTACACGTTTTCGTGCATGGCTTGCATCCATTTTTATTATTACTTGTCAACGAGGCGGGGATTCGTTCTCGAGATTGGATTTGTTCGGTTTCATTGAACTCAATTTTTTTGAATATTCGCCACAATTTCGATACGAGGATTAATATACTCGATGTAAAATCTTTTTTTATATTGAATTGATAGAAGAAGAAATAAGTATAAATGTCGAAGAAAAATTCGTCTTTGTAAAGGAATGAGATATGTAATTGTAGAAAAGAAAAGAAAAAAGATTACTCATTTAAATTCCATTAAAATTATTGAGGTTGTCTCGATGTTTCCACACGATTTCTTCATTATTATTAGACGAAGCCTGGATATAAAAAATCAATAAATCCTTTTCTATTTTTAAAATCTATACACCGTATCGTAATACAATAATATAATACATTTTTTACTCGAAACTCACGCAAGAGTTGGAGAGTGAAGATTATTATATTTTTTCCAATTGGCAGTGCGCATTATAGTTAACACTAAACTCGAGAATTGAAAATTGAAGCCCCTCCCCATTGAGAGCGAAGCCGATGCGAAGGGACAAGTTCACGCCTCCTCCGCTTTCACCACAAGCATGAAAACCGATCTGCTTTTTTAGACGTGTTTGTCGTATCCCATTCCGCTTGTGCATGCCTGTGCATCGACACACCCACGCTTTCTCGGATGCCGAGTCGAGTGTACCAAAGCCAAAATAACCGAAGGGACGCTTCGTTTTAAACGTGAGAGATGTGTTTCTTTTTCTTTTTCTTTTTCTTTTTTTTTTTTTTTTTTTTTTTTTAAGCGATTCTCTTCGACACTTTGATCGAAATCGAAATATATTCGCCTTCCAAAAAGGCGTGTCACGCGCTCTTGTCCGAGAAACAAGAAATAAGATGGAAATTTCCCTCCTTTCTTTTTATTTATTTATTTTTTTTTTTTTTTATCCCTGTTTGAAACTCGAAACAACTCCATGGACGATAAAATGTGGATAAAATGTCGAGTTTCGAGATGCAACAATTGTCTATTATCTACATCTGTCTGCCATCTATGCTCTCCCCTGCATCCACTTGTATTTATTATCCATATTTCTCTGTCTGGTTTTGATAGATATACAGGGTGATGTGATGATCATTCTTGTGATTATTCTTGTTATCCATGGATCGATACATCGATAAAAATATTTTTTATCTCTGTACTTTTATTTTTATTATCAGATCATTATCGAAACTCGACGAAAAAAGTCAAATCACGTCTATATCCGTTATATCCATGACAAGAAAAAAAAAAATGATTGATGATCAATTGATAACGAAAATAATCGAGGTGACTTTATATGCTGAGTCACCCTGTATATCCTGTAAAAAAAGAATCGAAAGAAGAATTGTTTCTAATCCTTGCTGATTTGAGAATATATATATATATTGATATTTCAAAGAATTTTTCTTATCCCTCCAGGTTTATCTCGATTGTTCAGATCTTTTCTCTGTCTCTCTCTCTCTCTCTCTCTCTCTCTCTCTCTCTCTCTCTCTCTATCTTTTCTCTTTTTCCTCTTTCTCTATTTGTGAAAGTGTGGCTTGTTTTTATTTTTTGGTAGAACGCACTCAAGGGTGCAATTATCCTTCTGAGGAGAAGGATCGATCCGTCTTCATCGACGTTTTGCACGTTCGTTTTCACACCGAACTGCACCCTCCTCCAGCACTTTACCTGGATTATTTTATCCCTGGATAATTACCCTGGATAATAATCCTGTTATTCTCGTGAAATAATGGATTTGAGAGGGCAGAGGTGTAAGAATTATTCGACCGAATTGGAATTCAATTCAACATTTCAAAGATTTCTTTGAGAATATTTTTTGCAATTGGACATTCCACTTTCAGAATGATTATATCTCCGAGAGTAACTTTCAATCGCAAAAAAGAAAAATGTTCTTTCCAGGTAATAATATTATCTCGAAAGTGAATACATCATTCTAATAATAATTAAACCGGTAAAAGAATCTCGAATCGAAAACTTTTGAAATTTTAAGAGATTTAAAATTTTAAGAAATTTTAAAAAAGAAATATCTTCTTCTACGTCAATCGTTATCGTTTGACGAATTACCTCTCAAGACCTGCTTCACAGGGCACTTCGAACGTTTCAATTTTTCGACAGGAATGATTTTCCACCTTCTCTCTCTCTCTCTCTCTCTTTCTCTCTCTTTCTCTCCCTCTCAGTCGTGTGAACGCCACCCCTTTCTCCCCTTCGCACCCCCTAATTCGAAGAGAACCCGAGTCTATACATGTATGATACTCGATCGAGAGACCAAATACGGGGAAGAAAGATAAAATATTCTGGTGCTGTTACAACTCTTTATTACTATTTCTTACTTTATCTATCCGTCTGTCTATCTATCTCTATCTACTCTCATCTTCCGTTAGTCGACATTTTAGAATCGTATAAGCTAGAAAGTATATTTACCATTTTTTTTTTCTTTTTTATGTAGAATAATATCAATTTTTGTGGACTAGCTGGAACTCTGAGGCGTTTGTAATGAAGGGGAAAAAAAAAAAAAAGAAACGAAATAATGCTTAAAAGAAAAAAAAAAATGTACGCTTCCTTTCTTAAATTTGAATACGCTTACGTTGAATGTTTATCGCTTTGAATGTCGGCTTGATTGATTTATCGACTACAACTGCATCGAACGCGATAATTATTCGAAAATTTAATTCTTAGAGTATATTGCGTAGTAGACCCTTTCACGCTCGACATTATAATTAGTAGTTGAACGAATCGATAAAATTGGATACAGCCAGTCGCAAAGAAATATCTTCGTGCAATAAATCTTACAGATTTTTTGAATGAAAAACACTTATACCGTGTTTGTATATTTTCAAACATGTACAAACTCGGAAAATTTCATTTAAAACAAAATTTTGCGACTTGATTTAATCGCTTTAAACTCACTTAAACTGTGTACAAAAATTTTTGTAATTGACTGTATACATATATATTTTCATCATACCGCTATATATCATTCACACGTAATGTATTTAAAGTACATATTAGATAGTTTTAGTATCGATACATTTTACATCTGTAAAAAGAACATCAGGGATAAAATGTGTCATCGATCAAGAATAAGAATAAATATTACTCGATTCGAAAAGGGTTTATAAATCCTTTTTCTTTTTTTTTTTTTTTTTTTTTTTTTCGTGGTTAAAATTTTCTTCGACAAATGAAAGATAAATGAGAAAAAAAGGAAAAAGTCGCGTTCGATGAGAAATCGAGCTTTGGCTATCTTCGAAAATCCAAGGTGTTCCAAAGTTAACAGCCACGGAGTCCAGCTACTTTGCATTAATACACGCGATCGAGATACTTCGAAGTCGTGACATTTGGCCTCGAGCCGATTCAGAAAGCAAATAATGAAAGAGAGGTTAATCAGCAACCCGTGAAATTATATAAATCGTTGTCGTCGCAAAAAGTGTTCTCCAGTTTCAACGAATCTTTGTCTCTTCGTGCGAAACCTCTAAATAGAAGAATAATTCCTTTCGAGGAGCAAAAGAAACACGACTACCGTGGACAAAGTTTTCCAGATCCGGAGATACTTAGACGATTATTCGTTAACGGGTCGATAGCAAATACATGAAGGATGCTTGCAGAAAACTTGGCCCCGAAATTGCAGTCGAAATTAATTATCTCTTGGGGAATAAGGAGTTAAAGGAAACGTTTCGATCTTTGAAAGCGTAGATGATAATTATATAAACGAAATATCAACGGTGAACTTTTGTATTTAATTTAAATAAATTTAACGGAATAATAGTAGATATTAAATGTCCCGAGAAGAGGGAAGAGAAATCAAAACGAATCTTTTATTAAAGATAAAATCTTTAATAATTGTAAAATTGTATCTTGTAATCTTTTGCTCTCTGATTCACTCGAATCTAAATATTACGAGAAAATATAAAAAAAAAAAAAAAAAAAAAAAAAGAAGAAGATATCAGCTTAGTTGAATATTAAACTTGCGTTGGCTGGTCTCTAAATCTTTTTGTATGAAGATAAAAATATATATATATAAAGATAAAAATTGAGAAAAAAAAATAAATAAATAAAAGAAAAGAAAACGAAGAATGTAAAAGAATATATTTTATATATATAAAAAAAAAAAAAAAAACTGTCGCATATTCGTGATGTATGTGTGTATTGTTGTACAGAGGATAAGAAGGGCGGCGTCGACCGGAGCAGCACGGTCATTGCCAAAGAACCCGAAGGTAAACCTTGCATATCGAAGGCCGAGAAACGTGTACGTAATACGCGTTTCGACGTCTCGTGTTCATGTGTATACATATATATATATATTACGTACCTCCGTATAGATTTACATATATATATTTATATACGTATATATTTCCACGTGTGTTACGTGTAGATGTCCTCCGGTTCAGACCTGGCTTCCCCTATTCTTCCAATTGCTGGTTACCGTTCGATCGAAGTTGCTTCGTTTGTTTTCCAAAAAAATCCAAGTTAATTTTTCGTAATTTTCTCCTCCTTTCCGAATTATTGGAATCATTGCTGGATAAATAATTAATAACTTTCGAATTGGCAAATATCGTAAAAATTCATTAAGAAACTAAATCCAGCAAACTCTCAAATTCCCCTCTCGCCTAAGAAAAAAAAAAAAAATATCTCTACTTGCATTAAATCTCGAAATTGAAACAAAAAAAAATATCTCGAAGAAGAAGAAAAGGAGAATTAATCGTTCTCGTTAATCTTCGTTTCCTCGAGCTTTCCCCCTTTATTTTGCATTTCGAGAGGGGACACGAGAAGGAATAGGGGAAGCCAATGCCACTAGGAGCTCAGTGACGAGCTTCGAGCTTTTGCACCCCTGTCTGTTCCAGCTTCCGCTAACTCGTACTTCGGATTTACCGTCTCTCCAGCCTCCTCTCGTTCCACCACCAACTAATAAGGATTTCGCGTGCGTTGCCTCCCCTCCCCTCCCCCTCTGATCGGTCTGAAAAATCGGTGAACCCTCCCCTGAACCCTCTCCCCCCCCCACGTACGAGCCATCACGAGGATCAATCAACCGTCCCTCTCCTTACGTCGTGCACGATCGTGTCCGTGTAAACGTACGCGTATGTGTCCTTAATTGTGGTGTTTGATAAAAAAAAAAAAGAATATCGTTGTTATTTATTTAACGTTGAAAAGGGGAGGGTTTCACGTGATGATACACGTGTTGGTTGGATCGTGTTGTTGGAAATTTATTCGAAGCATGGTGGCATTTAATGGAATTCGTTGTAAATGGTAAGGTAAATGGTTTGTGAAATTTTGAGCAAGGGTAAATTATTGTTTTGTAAACGTTAACGTCGACTTTGGATACAGGTTCTTTTTTTGGAAAAATTGGATTTTGATTGGAATAATACTGACACAAACGTGGTCATGCGATCTTGTAGGCGAAGCAAATCAAGCAATCTGTTGATCTTTGTTTCGTAAAACTATGAATATTTATAATATATTGTGGCTAGATTTAATTACGATACACTTATCAATCCATAGATAGACGAGATAATTACTCCTAGAGTAATAAGAGATTTTTACTTACTTACTACGCTATTAGCGTTATCTCTTAATTAAATTGTTAAGGCAAAGGAAGTAAGTAAATAATATCAGAAATTTATCAGAAATATATAGAAACTGATATAATTTATCGAACGATATCTACAATTATATATCATATTATATATCATATCACGAGATAATATATTAACGATAATAAGGCAATTTTGTTAAGAAATTTCACAAATCATATAGGAAGTATAATGTATCCGTTCTCGATAAAAATTGCGTGAAAAATCACGTGTTTCCCGTCTCGAGAACAAAAGAGATTCGCGGCATCTTGAAACGAAAGCGCCTTCCCTCGTTTGTCTGTTTCCATCCAATGTGTGTAATCCACGCACTCGATTTACGAAACGAGAGCGTGAACTTCTCGACACCGGAAGAAGCGTACGTCAACCTATAATAGCGACGAGAAAATTAGCGTTCGAGGACGTCTGATCAGACATCTAGCGGATCTACTGCTCCCGAGGCGAGTAGAAACAACCTGTTTATGCCGCGATATCTCGATTACAACCACTTTTTATCACGCCACTGTGTATATTGTTTAGACGTACAATTAGACGTTGTTACGTAGGATTGTTGTTCTTGCGCTGTTGCGAACGTTATGCTGTTTAGGAAATTGAATAATATATATATATATTCACGTGTATACTGTTACCATCGAGCAGCTGGCTGTCTTTTTTTTGTTTTTCTTTTCTTTTTTGTTTGTTAAATTTTATTTATAAAAAAAGATACTATACTTCGATCCTCATAATTTTTTTAATATGTTTGTCGAGATTATCATGATATTATTCATGAGCAATATTGGTGAAAGTTTTACTTGATTTGTTGTTCGTTAATCTAATCCAAATCGTATATATGAATTATCATTTTTGGGTATATTCAACTATCAATCGATTTGGGTTAGTTTTTTCTTAATTTTTTTTAACAGCAAGAAGTAAAAATCTTTGCATCACTGCTCAGAATGATAACTTTGACGATATATTAAAAAAAACCACCGTTCTTTTTTTTGTAAATAATTATATATTTTTGTTTTTTTTCTTTTTTTTTAATTCTTCTTTTACTTTCGAAATATCCACGTAATTAATTGTTTACGATCACGAATTCGTGATCGAGATTAAAATGTCGTCATGGACGAGGAGGCTCTTGGACGAGACGTCTATGGCAGCTTGGCAACCTTGAACGATAAGTAGATCCAGTATCGTAAGCTTTAGCAAGTTTTAGTCGCCTGTGTTTGATCGAATAGATAGCCTGGATTCTCAGAGTTTTGTTGCTTAATCGTTTGATCGTGTTACACACGTAGCCAAAGATTCATCGTAGAAGTTCTCTTCTTCGCATTAATTCGCCACACAAGCATTTCGCGATCGATGGTTCCCAACATTTCGAACGAAATCATCATCGATTAGTCTCTCGAAACGATTCGAGATTAATCATTTTTGATTGAGATATCGCATCGCAATCTTGAATGAATTCTTTTTCTCATCGATTAGTTTCTCTTTTAGAGTTCATTTCGAATGGCTGTTAACTCTTCTTCTAGTCGGGTTAAGATCGGTTGCGGCTGCTCAAAGTTACTTGGAATATAGAAGATCGAACGTATATAGAAAATCATCATGTGTAAAAATCTCGATTACACGGATATATTATGCAGCATGAGAAACGTGCCTTTAGAACATTATGCCTCTTAACACATTGCGAATCGGACACTTTTATTGCTTAAACAAGTATATATATATATATATTTTTGCATCAAATATTTTTAAGTTTATTGCCACTTGCCATTTAAGATTTTTTCTTTTTTTTTTTTTAGCGGTTAACGATGCATATCAAACGCGAGGTATTTTGCCAGGAATTTCTTATGAATGCCGATACATCTTGAATTTCGTAATGTGTTAAATTAATCGTGTTCTTACGAGAGAAAATAAATAGATTAGAGATCAAAATTTGAACGTGTATGAAAACAATTTTTAGTCTATCGAGATTTTAAAATAAAACATTGTTTCCATCAATGTTTAAATTTGCTGATAATAAGCACCGTGGAATAGCATAGAGCAGATAGTTGTATTTCAAATTATATGTTAATTAACACGTGTGTATTCATAGTGTACAGAATGTTAATATATATTCAATGAAACATCTTTAGAGAATCTATTCTAAAGATCGAGACAAAAGTTATAATTTTTTTTCTTTTTTTATTATCGATCAATATTTTTGTAAATATTCTATCTTTCATAATTATTTTTGCCTCCCTTAGAATCGATCCTCCAAAGCTGTGAAATAAGAATTTCTAGTATAGATATAGCCTGTTCGAAATCAATTGGCGTTCAAAGCAGCGCTCCCCACCATAGCTCGAGCGTACCCCCACTTTCGACCAGCCGGAGATTAGGTGAGGCGGCATGGTGGGGGAAGGTAGCCGCGTTCCTCTAGCTTACAGCCACACGGTGACCTTGAGCAGTCAAAATCTTTAACCTGCGCTACAACTCCAACTGTTAGCCGAATAGAAATGGAAAATGGGGGAAAATACGACGGAATGGCGGCGATTTCAAGGCGTGGCCGACGTTCGATTTCGAGCGATGGCGGGAATATCGAGCGAGAAAACTCGAATATCGTGGAATCTATTGAAGAAACTCGCCCGAACTCGCGTGGCGCGCTGTCAACGGAAATACCTGGCCGCTTGGCACCGCTTGAAAATAGATTGGCAGCAGTCCGCGCCGTTCGTTCGGCCATCCTCGAAGCCGGCCGTGCGGAGCGCAATAAAACCGAGTCGATCTCTTCGAGATTTTCCTCCCTTTCGCGCGGGACTGAGGGCATTCGAGAACGATTCACGTGTTTCCCAGTGTTTCGTTGTTCGAAATCCGTCACGTTGACGGAAAAAAAGGGATAATAAGTGTTGGAAAGTGGTAAATGCGTTTCGAAGGGAGGAGTAGTAGGTGAAGTCCTCGAAATGTCGGCCACCGCTGGCTTGCCGAGTTCCTCGAAGCAGCCTGACAATTACGGTGAGCCATGAACATATTTTACGTGACATTAATCGCGCCAGGAGGATTTTTTTCTCGATGAAGTTGGTTCATTCATCGGAATTACGATTGATGGCTTAACTGGACGGTACAGGTGGTGATTTCGTAATGTAACCTAAATCGAAATATCCCAATTATTTCTTTCCCTGGAAATATCGTTCCAATTTTTTACACAACACTTATTTTTATATTTATAAAATACTTTTAAGGAGCAAAAAAAAGGAAAGCGAAAAAAAGAAACTTTTATCGAAAATCCAATCGTTACGAAACAATCCATATATTTTCGATAAGCTTGCACTTCTTTGCGAAAGAAAATTCCCCAATTATTCGAATTGAACGGGATCTGTTCGAAATTTCGCAACACGTTACACGCCAAAAAAAGAAACGCTCCCTCCACTCTGATAAATTCCGCTCCAAAAACAACTGAACGAGCCGTGCCCCTGGCACGGGGACAAGAACAACTTGGTCAAGCCAGGAAATCTCGATTTCTCGGATTCGTATCGACATTTTTGCGTAATACCGGGATCCCGAGTGGGGCATCCGGTGAGGCCGTTGGATGACTAATGGCGGCGGCGTCCCACGCGAAACGGACTTCCGCCACGAATCGGGTTGGGTCACGATCGCCCGCCAGCCTCTTCCAAATCTATTTTCAGCCGCGAAACCGTGTCTATGTCGGGCGAGGATCTGTCATCGTGACTGTGCGCGACTATTCTCGTTCCACTTAGGCAAAGGTCGGTGTTGCCGCCACGTCGACGGAGCAACGTTTCCCGCTTCGAAACCCGTTTGTTAACTCGCGCGTATCCGCTCCTCGAACATCGCAGATGAGGTTGAAACGAAAAGCGACGGAGTTCGCCTCGTGCAAACGTATTTTTGCCTCTCTTACTTTCTTTCCTCTCCTTTTCTTCTTCTTCTTCTTTTCTTTTTTCTTGTTTGGTGGAATTGACAATTATAGAGATTCTTTGCCTCCTCAGGTGAAATCAGGAAGAAGGAAGTGCGTTAAATCAATCGTTGTAACAAACATTATTGAAAATATTTGCGATCACAAGATCGAAAGATCGACTTAACGCAATTTTTTTCACTCTGGTTCTCACTCGTTGACCGCTTCTTCTAACTAACAGGAATGTTCCTCGCGATTAACATTCCCGAGACATTCTTCCCGCAGGAATTGAGATCATCGATTCCTCTTGAAAAAAATTCGCTTCAACTCCTGGCGCCAATGATATTCTTTCTGTCGATCCTCTATAACTCTCGCTTCTGTGCTCGCAATCACATCGGGAATAATTATTGGCAGAATACGACTAACGTAACAATCGTCTTCTAATCTAATCACTTCTTCCTAAATCTAATCTCGATAGACCCAATTGCGACAATCGGTCTAGCCTTCAAAATGCGCCCTCCTCCTCCTCCTCCTCCTCCTCCTCTTCTTCCATCCCGCGCGAGAGGGTGTGTTTCTCGCGCGGTGTCTCGTGTTGAGTTTTGGACAAGCCTGGTGTTGATAATCAAAATCCGGAAAGGTTGTTTCTAATCGGTGAAATTCGAACTCTTCGACAAAGGCCCCGCCTCCCAGGGCACGCCCCCGAACAGTCCCGCCGCCGCCGTGTCCGCGTTCTCCAGGGTAGTTGGGGCGGCGAGGGAGACGAACAAGCAGAACCAGGTTCAGGGAAACCCCCTTGGATTAGCCGCGGTACTCCTACAGGGAGCACAAGGTAAATCGGGTGGTGAGAGTCGAGCCGAGGAGAGGGAAGCACGGTAGAATCGATGGGATTTCGGGCTGATTTATTCCGATTTTGAATTTCGGAAAAAACGTTCTTGCGATTTCTCGTGATTTGGCAGAACGATTCGTTGGAGAATTTTTATTTCTCCAAAGAGATAAGAAGGAATACGAGATGGAGAAAAGAAAGAGTGTATATTGGTGTTTCAAGTTTGTGAAAATTGGATTTGCAGGAAGCGTGTGACAGTTAAGAGGGAAGAAAAATGCAGTGATAAAACTTGGAATCTCTACGATTTAAAAAAGGATCTCTTTTTGCTGCAAAGTAAATTTTGGATGAAAAATATTTGTTTCGAACGCAAAGATTCTCTTCTTCCTAGAAGAGAATTTTGGAATTTTTGGGACGACACCTTTGTATTTTTCCGTAAGTTAAAACAATATCGGTTTCTTAGAATCTTTTCTTATAGTTACGAAACGAAATTTTTACGAATTCCAATAAAATGTTCAGGTTACGTGTTTATAGTTGGTCGAGAAGCACTTAAATTTTAAAACCTCTGCAAGATATAAAAATAGAGAGGATTAATATAGCTGCGGTATGTAATATCCCCGTGTCCTGTTTAACATTTTACGAGCGGCATAGTCGTCGGAAATAATTGCTGGCGTCTCTTTTATGGCGTCTCTCCGCTTGGCCTGGTGACCGGAACAAAATGGCGCGAAATATCAGCCCTCACCGTTTCTACCGTTCTTTCGATTCTCTCGGCGGAGCAAAGTTTTTGTCACTTCCGCCTACGCCAGCGTCGATCCTTAATTATCATCATTTCGAAGATAAGAAACAAGGATAAATATAAACACGATCGAACGATCGATCGATCGATTTAATCGCAGATCCGTACGTGAAATATGCATATGCATATTTTTATATTTACACTTTAAAATACACAGAAAAGATAAAATAAACTACGTATTTTTCGAAGGATGCATTCAATCATACGAACAATTTCAACGAGAGAAATTCAAAGATTCTCAAAGCCTTTTCGATCCTCGAAAATGAAAAAGGGGATGGAAAGTCATTTCTACGAAGCCTGTCCATAACAATAACGATACTCGTTTCAACAAAAGATTTAACGTTAACGTTCGAACGAACGAAGGAACTTGATTCGAATTAAGAAAAAAAAAAATAAAAAAAAATAAAAAAAGGAAATCGAAGGAAAATGAAAAGAGATTAAAGATGACGAGAATAATCTTACAATCGTTATATTTGTTACGTCAGTCATCTTTTTATTCATTCTTTTTTTTTTTTCTTTCTTTCTTTCTCTTAAAGAAACGTGAACGGGACGAGAATAATCGAAAGCTCGTCGAGATATTCTTTCTCTTTCTCTCTCTCTCTCTCTCGCTCTTTGTCTCTCTTTATATCGACGAATAAAAGTTTCTTTACGATCGGTCCCAGCAGAGACCCGCGAAATTGCAGACTCTCTTTGTGGCTGTTATCGGAAATTCGCCTACGTGGCGCAGGACACGAGGAAAGGATACTGAAATTCAACCAGACGAGTCCACCCCCCGACGAATCGGTAAGATTTTCTGTCGCGATCCAATCGTTTCTGCCTGAATCGAGAAAACTGCTCTTCGAAAGCCTCGTTTTCGAAACGAGGGTAAAATTATCGATGGTTCTTTTTTTTTTTTTTTTTTTTTGCGATGCTTCGAGGACCAAATTGGAAAAATTTTTCTTTGTGACAATTTATAATTTCAAAGAACCGTTCGAATTTTTTTTTTTTCGAGGGATGAAGAAAACTTCAATTTCTAAACTATTCGAGATTTGATTCTGGTCCTTTAGGTATCATGACTATCATGAAACTTATATATATATAAATACGATATTGCAAGTTGTGAATCATCGAAAACGCATACAATTTCCAAGCAGAAACAAGACAGAAGACCGACAGAAATCGGTGAGTCCCTTTTAGAGTCGAAGCATGACTTGGATTTATTTTTCTCTCCCACGATTTTGTTACCTTTTGACCGTGGACACATGGTCGAAAACGCAGGATATTATCACGCTTCGTGGCCATAGATCTCTCTCTCACGCCCCCAAATGCTTGCTCTCCCCGCTACTTCTTGCGTGTTAACATTCTTTTTTTTTTTTTCCCCCTCCTTATTGTTTTTCAATCTCGAACAGAACACACACAGCACCAATTGTCGATATTTTTATAGCGCACACACACACACATATATATATATATCTTCCCTCCTTTTTTTTTTCTTTTCTTAAAGATCAATCTCCACGAGGATTCATAGGAAACCGCGAGAGAATTATCACTTGGTCTTTTCTATTTTTCTATTTTTCTTTTTTTTTTTTCTCTCTCATTCGAATCTCGTCACTTAGTGCAGTCTAATCTAGATGGATCTAGATCAGAACGATCCAAAATGTTTGAACGCTTTGTTCGATCAACGAGAAGCCTGCATTTTTGCCAACTCGCTTCCGATATATATACATATATATACGATTTCTTATTTATCCTCTTCTATCTTCTACTATTTCTTTCTCTTTCTCCTTTTTTTTTTTTTGTTTCCCTCTTTTGATATTCCTCTCACGACGCCTCGTTGCACTCTCGTGGAATTTTTTTTTTAAATCGATCCTCATTTTCTCTTCCAACACATTTGGATGATAAAAGAAATGATCTATCCAAGCTTTTCTCTTCTATCGTGATTTCTCCGTTTATCCCTCCTATATACGAGGAAAAGAGATCCAAAGCGAAAACTAGTCAAAAATTAACCAACATATCTCTCACCATCTTGAAATCAATCGTTCGAATTCAAAAGAGAATATGATTTCCTTTAGAAAAAAATAATCTAACATTCTTCAATCAAGCAAACTCCAGATACTTTGAATCATCATGATCGAAAAGTCTCTCTTTCGAAATTATATCTTCCTCTTCGAATTCAATACTCTCCAATGCTCGCCATCGACATGGCGTGGAAGAGACTCTTTCAAAAAATTGAGTTCAAACACTTGTTTGTCCAAAAAAAAAAGAAAAAAAAAAAAAAGAAAAAAGAAAAAAACTGTTCGAAATTTCGAGAGACGCGAGAGTGCAACGATCGAACTATGACGGTACGGTGAAAATCGGCCAGAAGCGACCGGGAGGAAGCTGTTCGGAGGCTGACAGTAGCTCGTCTTTTGGTTGGTTGGTTGCATGACTAGCTGGCAGCGCAGGAAGCGGTAGCAGCAGCGGTAGCAGCAGCAACAGCCAAAACAGCCAGACTGGCGCGTCACCGTCCTCGCCAGCGGCCATCTACATCGGCAGCAACCACGCGGCGACGCCCACGGCATCGTCGCGACGCTACGACTCCTCAAGCAACGGTCTGTATCCATTTCACACCTCTCTGCCTCTCTGGCTTTCTTCTCTGGTTCTCGATGTAACAACCGCGCGTACGATCGTTGACAAGATCGTTTTTTATTCGAGGATGAATAAAAAAATAAAATTTGGAAGGTTGGTTCTAGAGGCGAAAATATATTTGAACGTGTATTGTTGCGCGAAAGTGTCGTTTGAGATTTTATTTATAACTCGGGATAGCCATTAATACTCGGGAATACGAGTGTTCCTTTGCGATTTAATAAATACATCTTGAATGACATTTTTCAATATTACTTGTTACTTTGTACAAACTTTGTTTCAGCCTTTAGAATTGAACTTTCGAAGATATATATGTATATATTGATATTTTAAGAAGAACAGCTTAAGAAATAATTTGTTAACAGGTTAAAATCGAGAGGTTTATGAAAGAGTAAGGATAGCTATTTTGCTTTATTGCATTAAGGTTTACAGTAATTTATACTCTAGTTTATTCCTCGATTCTTTCTCTTTACTATATTTTTCATTTTTTTTTTCTTTTTCTTTTTTGTTTCTCAGTCGTCGATGAAATGTTTAATGCATCGTTGATCGAGATAATCGAGATTATCGATAATAAAACGAGAATCGAACAGTCGAACAGAGGATATATTTAAAGATAGATATTTAAAAAAAAAATCTTTCGACCTATCGTTTGATCGTCAAGTTTGATAAAATTGGAAAATTGGAAAATTTCTAAAATGTATAATTTGAAGATTAGGGTCGAAAAATTCGGGGATTCGATTATTTCCTTCGCCCTTTTGGATAATGAATTGGCAAGATTTAAAATGGAAATTGGGTGTTTTCCACGGTAGAATTGCAGAGAACGTGTCACGTGGAACGAAACGATCACCGATAATGCGTTTCATTGTGCGGAAACACGGCTGGCATCCGCGTCGCGAGGCTTGATTGATTCCCGTAATGGGCAAAAGTGCATTTATCGCGATCGTGGCCCGTAAATCAGTTTCCCATTTCGCAAATGGAAGACACTTTTACGTTCGATTGCCGAACGCCTCGCTAAAAACGTATCACGATTTTCTCCGTTCGAAAACTCGTCGTCACCTCGACAATTCTTCTTGAAATTATTCCAACTTGCGCGGCCCAAAATTATCCTGCGTTTAATTCAAATTTCTCCTCGAATCGATTACTTAGGAATTTTTGGATTAAAATTTTTTTTCCTCGAAATTTAATCTCAAAATTATCCCAAGACGTCTCAAAATTGTATTTGCAAAAAAAATGGTAATTCAAATTTTAATAAACATAGGGAGGAATAAAATCGATATCGTAATCTTTCGATTTGAAGTTGAAAAAGAACGATGCATTAAGCTTATTTTCTTACATATCGAAGTGATATATTATTTTCTGCCGAACGATCTATCATTCAATCATTCAGGCCAGAGAGGAAAGCGGTCTTACGATCGCCCTTTAATTTTTACGAAATTTTTTTACGTTCGATGACCCCTCTTCTCCCCGTGTGTGTTTCTCTGCATGTTCCGGTTGCACGCATCGCTGACATGCCGCCTCGAATTCCAATGCATGCCACTTCGAAATGAATTCGGAAGCGAAACCTTCTCCCTCCAAAAAAAAAAAAAATGCAAAAAAAAAATAAAAAAAAATATCAGAAGCGGAAATTCGACGCGCGAACAACCCCGGATACATGCCGCTTAGTCAAAACGAGTCAGAAGATGGTAAGAAGAGTATCAACGCCGGTAAGACCGCAGAGAAGTCGAAAGTTAAGATTGACGAGGACGCCTGCTCGAAGATTAGACGCTGCTGCTCGTTATCATGAAGTTTTGAGCCTTGCGACGCTGCACAATTCTCCTCTCTCGAAGTTACTCTACTCTCTTCGATCCTTTTGCCACTCTGGAATCTTCTTATTATTATTATTCTTCTTTGTTTCGACTCGATTATCTATTTTGACACGCAGAGAGATACTCGTGGAGAATTGAAAAGAATTGAAAATTCGATTTCGAAGCCTCGAAGCGAGGGAAGAAAATTTGTTGTGCAATGATCGTTCCCATTCGAAGAGATTTTAGAGATTCGTTGTTAACAAATTTTACTTAAAAGTGTTTTTTGGAAGTTCCAGAGGGTCGTACAGTGTCGCGTACAGGCTCGCCGCATGTCTCTTGTTTTTTTTTTTTTTT